CGAAGCGAAACAGCGCACGGATCACCTGAAGCGTGAAGTGGAAGAAGTGAATTGAGAATTTTAAAGTGTTCTGTGAGTGTTCTAAGCGATACATACAGTTGTAATTTATACTTCGGTAGAATTTTTATTTATCCCGAACCACAGGGCGTAACAGTTACAATACCTGCCTAATAAATTAAGTTCGTTTTGAATTGATTTGAATCGGGTACCATTATTATTGATTTCGCTATGCCCATCACATCTCATTTCATCTGAAAATAATTTTATATTTCTAAATCCAAGATCTCGTTGAAATGAATTCTTATAATTTCTTAGCTTGATCCCTATATTGTGGGATAGACTTGAATTATTTAGAACGTTAATACGTAAGACGCAAGAATATCTATATATATTAATACGTGAAGCAAAAACTTTGTATCCCTTTCTACGAAAATTGCGCGGACGGTGGAGTATGAAATTTTCCACATTTATAGAGAATATAGAGAAGAAGTGCACAATGCTAATATTTTTTTAAAATAATGCATAAAAGATACATTAAATCAGTAAAGAAAACATTACACACACTACCATGTATTTGACACACACACGCATGCATACTATTTATTTATTGTCAAACTTTTGTTCTTGACGTCTGTGGTCAAATTGAGAATAGATTAAATATTGTTTGTCTTTATTAATATTTTTCTATAGTGTAGTCTTGGCGTTGAAAATACAATCATAATAGTGTACAAACTTACAATTCCAATTAATTATAGTCGAATTTCGACTACTGCGGGACCACTAGTATTTATAAATATAGAACGTGTCTTTTCGTCTCGTAAAATTGAATCTAATACGTAAATACGGGAAAGCTTTCGATCTCGCTCGATCCAATTCCAACAACGGTATGGTACAAATCGGGGCAAAAGTTTGTAGTGGGCGGATAATCGAAAACTATAAGGGACTAATAGCAACATAATAAATTCATGATATAACAGATTAAAATAATTGTCTCATATTATATAAAACTTTAGGTACTACAATGAGAGCTTTTGAGCGAAAAATAGAAAATACATGTTTTTGTTGAAATTTATTGAAGTTATACTTCTTTAGGCGCGTTATGAAAAATTGATGAGAGTGAAATTTTACGATGCGCGCGCACCGTAACACAAAATTAACAGAATGAAGTCGCCCACTAAATCGCTCATTACAATACGACCGACGTAACTTGGCGAGTCTGAATATAGCCGCAGGTGAACTTTCGCGCATGTACACTCGTAAAAAAGTGTTATTAGCATTAATTTTTTGGTAATATAAATGACAAAATTATTAATTAATATAATTCATACTAAATATTATAAAATTATTAACGTTAAATATTTATTATTAACTATTTAATATTTAAAAAAAAAAAGTATAACTTCTTACACGCGTACATAAGTACACGCACCCTTTTTATTTAAAATTCAACAATTGGGCCACGAATAATGGAAGTCCTCGTGGCCTAAAGGCTTATACTCCGATGTGTTTAGTTCGAGTTTTTTAACGCTCTCGATAGCGTAATAGTTAACTCAAGTTTGTATGCAGTTGGAACAGCGCCCCTAGCGGCAAACGTAGACAAACGTTCCAACTCCATACAAATTTAAGTTAACTTTTACGCTATCGAGAACGTTAAAAAACTCGCACTAAGCATACAGATGTCGATGTACAAATCCCGCGGGTAGCAACAATTTTTCTAATGAAATATGTACTTAACGAAATGAAAATCAAATTTAAAAGACTGAGCCCTGAAATCGGGGTTCAGCGAAGACCGTGACTTCATATACAATCAAATTAATTTATACAGGCACCTTAATTAATCGATATTCTTTATACGCTGAAGCAATGTGCAGTGACTAGCAAATTAATTTAAAAAACATTCAGTATTAAAAAGTTTATCTTAATAATTTTGATATATCGCTTTTTTGTACGATGGCAACAAGGGTTCTAAAATTGCCACAAATAATTTGAAATAAGATTTAATAAAAATACGATGAGTGTGAAGGCATAGGTCACATCTAGTTAAATATAAATACATTATGTTCATAAATGAGTTTTCGGGTCGACCAGTGTTAGTTATTTATTCAAATTGCTATTACCTATTCACGCGGTTGGGTCGTAGTTTGGTGTCTTCAGAGACAAGGTCTTAGTGACGTGTCCCCTTTAATGTATTTACTTACTTATTCTTGCAGAATATAAATAAATTATTAAACTTTGAACGTAACTGAATACTAATTCCAACTATTTTTGGAACTTAATCTCGTATTTATTATTATTTTTTTATTTTTTTGACATTTCTAATCGTTATATAATATATGTGGCAGCATCATCTAGTTACAAATATGGCAAAAGGCTTCCATTGTTATGATTATTCTTTGAAGCTGTTACATAATAATATAATATGTCTAATCTCTGACAGTATAAGTTTCTCAATGTAACAATGCTCTTGACAATGTCGTGGTCGGTGAATCTTATCCTCATATCTACAACAACATGAAGATTATAGTCAATGACTTCATACTGAAATATAAATTAAATAATAGTACATTTTGGTCCTGATAGTTATGATTATCTTTACGTATTTTTAATTAAGACCAGTCCACGCTCAGTAGTGCGGCTTGTCGCAGAGGGAACTCGAGATAAATTTCAAAATGGAGAGCCCGTATCTAATTTATTTACTTATCACGTGGATTGTCTTTGTATTTCTCAAACGCAGCTGCCGTAGCTGACACATCCAGACGCTTAGAGATCTTGAGAATTTTTACAAAAAAAAAATCTTTTACAAGAAAATAATTATGTTGGATAAATTTAAAAAAGGATAATTTTATTAAGTTTTACATTAGTACATAATTTGTAATACGATCTGGAGTGTTGACGATGGTAACTATTTTGTATTGTAAGATAATTTGGCAATAAACGTGTGAAATAGCGCTATGACATGTCCTTCTTCAAATGAGGCTTGCGGAGAGTACTTAATGGTTGGCAGTCGCTTGGCTCTGCCCCTGACATTGCTGACGTCCATGAGCGACGGTGACCACTTACCTTCAGGTGGGCCGTATACTCGTCTGCCAACAAAAGGCAATAAAAAAAATGTCGAAGACCGAACGTGAGAGTGATCTTTCACTAGCGGCTGGCTTTTTTTTACTACCCAAGTGTACCGATTGATGCCATAGTTCACGGTAATTTGCTAAAACCGGATCATGGAAAAATCGTAACGTGATTTCTGCCATTCACTCTGAGGCATTATGTTAAATAAAATAAATAATAAGGTAATAACTGGGAACATCACCGGTGGTAGGACCTCTTGGGAGTCCGCACGGGTAGGTACCACCACCCTGCCTATTTCCGCCGTGAAGCAGTAATGCGTTTCGGTTCGAAGGGTGGGGTAGCCGTTGGAACTATACTGAGACCTTAGAACTTATGTCTCAAGGTGGGTGGCGCATTTACGTTGTAGATGTCTATGGGCTCCAGTAACCACTTAACACCAGGTGGGCTGTGAACTCGTCCACCCATCTAAGCAATAAAAAAAAAAAAAAGAACAGATCACGCACGATCATGCGGCCACAAATTTGGATTCCCAATGTTATGGGTACCAGAGATTGCCCTTCATACTTATTTAAGTTTAAAAATATATATTTGTAGATAATAAACACCCAGACAAAGATAACAAATCCTTTTTTTTTGCTTAGATGGGTGGCGAGCTCACAGCCCACCTGGTGTTAAGGGGTTACTGGAGCCTATAGACATCTACAACGTAAATGCGCCATCCACCTTGAGATATTTTGATGATTGAAGATATTTTTACTGGTGGTAGGACCTCTTGTGAGTTCGCGCGGGTAGGTACCACCACCCTGCCTATTTCTGCCGTGAAGCAGTAATGCGTTTCGGTTTGAAGGTTGGGGCAGCCGTTGTAACTATATTAAGATCTTTAGAACTTATATCTCAAGGTGGGTGGCGCATTTACGTTGTAAATATCCATGGGCTCCAGTAACCACTTAACACCAGGTGGGCTGTGAGCTCATCCACTCATCTAAGCAATAAAAAAAAATATAAATTCTAAGATCTCAGTATAGTTACAAGGGCTGTCCCACCCTTCAAACCGAAACGCATTAATGCTTCACGGCAGAAATAGGCAGGATGGTGGTACCTACCCGCGCGGACTCACAAGAGGTCCTACCACCAGTAATTACGCAAATTATAATTTTGCGGGTTTGATTTTTATTACACGATGTTATTCCCTCACAGTGGAAGTCAATCGTGAACATTTGTTGAGTACGTATTTCATTAGAAAAATTGGTACCCGCCTGGGATTCGAACACCGGTGCATCGCTCAACACGAATTCACCGGACGTCTTATCCTTTAAGCCACTACGACTTCAAATCTGTTAATCATACGAATGTTTGCCCGATATGTGAATCGAACCCACGACCTTTGACGCAATAGTCACGGGCTTTACACTACCGAATCAGGGACCGGTTGAAGTATCAACTGTATTATGTTATTATTATAGTAAGTATAAATTTAATCCGAACCTTCGTATCGGAACGTATTTCTGTTCCAAGGCGGCAATGAGCAGTTTGGTACCTATCAGCTTTTTGGGTTAAATCAAGACTTATTTTCATAACATTTATAAGGGCACAAGCTTTTTGATTATGTAAACGTCGTGGTCTAAAACGTGGCGTGGTTGAAACAAAAGTAAAAGTAAGCTCGTTCAAGCTTTGACCTTTCGTATACCGCGACTTACACTGAGTCATAAGCTTAAAAATCAATTCATCCACGTGAATCTACAGTTCTATTTTAGCCGCAAAGTTAAGTTTTTTGGAAGACGGCTAAGGTGAATGTTATAGTGTCTATGTATCATTTTAACCACTTAAAGTTAAGAGGGCTATGAGATATAATACAAAATCAGTAGATTCAGGTTACAAATTATAAGTTACGCTCACGATTGTTCTTTGTATAATCAATTTGATTGTTGTTACAGCAAATTTTAGTGGAGAGAACTATAGAGTTCTGCACTGAGAAATGGCCTGACTCCATCAAGAAGGAATTGTATGGTGCTTTCAGCTTCATTCTGGTCTACGCTGTTCCCGGTGAGTTTCGTGTTAATGTAATGGTGTGGGTGTGGTAAACCAGCACATAGTCTATCTGGTATCAAGTTTTTTAAAAATAATAGACGGAGCTAGCATTATGTTACGCGCGTGGGGTTCGGGATAAATAAAATTTCACCAAAGTATAACTAAAAACTGTAATCAACACTTAGAACACTTAAAACAAACACTATAAAACTCTCAATTCGCTTGTTCCGCTTCGCTTCAGGTGATCCGTTCGCTGTTTCGCTTCGAGTAGTCCCGATTATTGACTGACTGCGTGCCATTTCTACAACGCTTTTATAGCCGATACCTCATCCCTAGAATTATCGAGAATATTCCACACATCTGTAGTAGTAGTTTCCGCTATCTGTCAATAGGTGGCGTTGTACTTCTCGAGCGTTCTAGGTGCTTTTAGGTCCTTCGATATTCATTCGACTATTTGGCAATAGATGGTGTTACTCTTACTGGCGTAACAATAATAATTGAGTGTTTCAAAATAATTAGTCACCGATGTTCACGAAAACCGTAAAGTATTACAAATATTAGAATGTATTTAAAACGCAAGATTAAACTGTAAAATTAAATAATAATAATAAAGTGAATACGAATGTGACTGTACTTACTATCAATGTACTTTTGTAGCCCACTGTACATAAAAAATACGTGTACAAACTTTAAAAAAAAAAACACATGTTTTTAATTAATGTCCGCATTCTGTTCCAATTAAGGGCTCGCTTAGAAACTTAAAAAAACTTAATTTTTGATATGTTTTAATAATATAAAATTCAATATTTTATAATGGGTAACGCACTTTATTTATGAGTTTTCTCGATCTATTTTTGTAACCTCTGTTTAGCAATAGCGCCACTCCATCCTTTACAGTGGGTCTTGTCAAAGATTTCCGGTGGTAGGGCATTTTGTAGGCTGCACGAGTACATAACCTGATCCTGTCTATTCTTGCCGCCAAACAGTTTTGTCCAGGTTCAAAGGGCAGGCCAGTTATATACAACTGAGATTTTATCGCCACGTCTCAAGATGGCTCGGATAACAATTCAAAACTAAGCGAGCAGACAGCGAGTTCGGAAATTCTGCTTAAAAAAAATCTACTATTAAACCTCTTTGTATATCCAATATCAATCAGATATCATTTTTATTAATTAAAATCAAGTCTAATTTTTCATTATACATTTTGATGCAGGTCCAGTTCAATTAAAACGCGCAATAGACTGGATATAATCGCTTTTAAGTAACGACCTCTCGCACGAGACATGTCAATGACGTGCAGTATCGACTACCCGGCTGGTGGGGAGGGTGGATATCGGAGACGAATGTTTTCCTCGAGCAATTATTTTTAGTAAAACACAAAACGTAATTATCCTTTGTGGATTTAAAAATGCAAATTTAGATTAGTATGTGATATTTATACATTGCATATTGTTTTTATCATTAATTTTTAAGTTAAACTGATTTTTTTTTATTGCCCATAAGGGCCACCGACCGACCACAGACGAGCACATAGCCAACCTGATGGTGAGTAGTTACCGTCGCCCATGCACTTCAGCAATGCCAGGGGCAGAGCCAAGCCACTAGCTACCCTTAAGTGCTCTCCACAAGCTTCGTTTGAAGAAGGAGATGTAGCGCTCGGGGAACACCATGGAGGGGAGCTCATTCCAAAGCCGGATGGTACGTGGCAAAAAATACCTCTGGAAACGCACTATGGATGCACGCAGTGGCTCTAGTTAGTATGGATGAGCTCAACTCCGATGGCGGGCTTGAGTGGAGACTTATATATTTATATGTAGACTAGCTGGCCCGGCAAACGTAGTTTTGCCATTTAAATTATTTCTAGGAAAGATAACTAACCTAGATACCGACTGCAGCGCCATCTGCCGGGCTGATTTGTAAATCTAAACCATTCTCGAATCCACCTGAAGGTACACAGAAAATTTCATTGAAATCGATCCAGCCGCTTAGGAGTTCAGTGACAAACACACGCACAGAAGAAATAAATATGTCGGAACACGTCAGTGATGGTTGTCCGGTAGTTTCGTCATCACTCGTATTCGATTGAACTCAGTTTAGTCAATAAAACTTTTCAATAATAATTATTGAAACTCAACACACACAACTTTCACAATGACAGGATAAACCGACAGTTTCGTTGCACATACCGACAGACCGACTGACTGACTGACTGACCGTCAGAGACTCACTGCTGAGACGGACGGAATCACTGTCTGACACGAATGCCACGACTCTGTCCACGTACCGCCATTTTATACTGTGGCGTTACGGAGTCTACCCTTCATTTTGTGATATTTATCAAAACAACATTTCATCATTTAAAATAATAATCAAAACCACCGTCTTAATATTACTAAAAGTCATTATCCACGACACGGCCATTCTGACACGTCACACGTCCCTGTGTGACGCTCCTGCAAGGAAAACAACCTTCTGCAATATCTAACAGGTTTCGTCTCGGCCACTCCTGATTCATTCACGATTGAGGATTGGGATTCGTTTCATTACAAACCATAACGTTAGTTTTCAACAAGATCTTTAACAGACTATATTAACCTGTGTGAGTAGATAACTTAATTACCCAACTATTAGTGATACACTATACAACTGAAAAATTTCATTAATGCTCAATAAGCATTAGAAACCCGAGTTATTACAAAACAACTCAATCTGAGCAGTATTTCATCAGTATTATGTATCAACCACAAACTATCGTTACAATTACTTCCATCTAGTGAGAGTAGCTCATGCCACCTATATCGAGTGACGATAACCCAATTCAAGTGCCA